GAGTTGTAATCTATACAATTGTTTTTCATTTTTTGTATTTTAAAGGAACACAGTACGATTCAAAAGTTTGGGTCGGTAAGATATTTTTTTTGTTAAAAGAAGTCTCCTATGCTCAAGGCAGTATTTTTCTTATAAAATATACAAAACAGTAATATTATGAAATATTACTATAATTTAAAGTAAAGCGTTCTATTTTCATATATTTTAAAATGTAATTTATTCCTGTGATTTGCAAAGCTACATTTTTAGCAGTCATTACTCTGGTCTTCAGTGTCATATGATCCTTCAGAAATCAAATGTAATAATTTGGTGTTCAAGAAACATTTTTTCTTATTATCAATGTTGAAAAGAGTTGTGCTGCTTGATATTTTTTGGAAACCAGGAAACATTTTTTTCTTCAGTTTTTCTTCCAAAAACAGAAATCCTTTGTAACAAAGTCCCCAAAATTCTGAACGGTAGAGTAAATAAATCTGACAACTGGGGGAAAAAAATAGTCTTACCATCTTTAAGCATTCTGGACTGTAAATGAGGATGGAGGTACAAGTCTAGGCTCCAGAGGCTGCAGTACAGTAACCTGAGAAACCTACTTTACCTCAAGTTTAAGCTAAGATCAGCGAGCCTTTGCACAGAGCTCTCTCTAGAGGTGTCCGTTTCTTTCATCAGCATTCCTTGCTGTTTCTCTCTCAAGGGTTTCTAGGTCATCTTACTTCTAATTCACTTCACAATGTTTGCTGAGGGAAAACAGTTGTGCATAAATACATACACACACATACATTTATATATAAAATATGTACTGTTTTGTTATGTTATATTTTTGGTTTGTTCAAACTAAAAAAAAAAAAAAAAATTTTGTTGTTGCAAAGTGGGGACGTTACTGTAAACAGACAGTAATATCCCTCTAAAAGGCTTAGTGTATTAATTGTTATGAAAAAATGCTCACTGTGCCACTGTACACCGAGAGGATCGGATTTAATCTGCATCTCATGTCTCTGGCTACTCTTGCGCAAAAAATCCTGGGAGTATTAGGCCTACGTTGGAGAGAGTTTGAGTGTGAGTGTGCATTTGTGAAAACTAGAGGTCAGCACCATCTTAATCTGAAGAGACTTCTCTGTAGTGCCATTATGTGAACCATAGCTAATGAGAAGAGACTGGGCTCCAAGCTGAAGGTGACCCTCTGAAGCCCCTACCTGCTCTTTAGCACTGAATATAGAATCAGGAGACGGGACCTGATGACACGAATCTCCCCAATATGGCAGTTCCTCTTTCTGTGGAAGCAAGTGTAAAAGGCTGTGGCCGTGACTGTTCCCGCCTCTCCCTCCTAGCTCACGCCTCAGCATCCCACTGCACAAGCCTCTGGCCCTGTAGCCATGGTAACCAAATGAAGTAAATGCTTGCAGGAGGGTTCTCTTTTTCCACCCGTCATTGCCTAAGTGTTCTCACCATATCTTTTTTTAACTGCAGGTTTAAGTAGAACAGCTTTGGCACTTCTCTTGAAAGGGTAATCACACTTGCGTCACTGTCCACCCATTACTTTATGTTTTTTTTTTTCATGTGGGAAAATCCAAACATTGAAATCAGGGGCTGACCATCTGCTCTGTTATAAAACAGCAATGTGGGCAAACACCTGTGTCACATGAACTGGACCATGCTTTTAGTCTCCACAGCTGTAATCTGCATCAAAAAACATAATTTGTGTATGCAAACAGTGACTTGGATAAATTCAGAAGCGCAAGTAAAAGACCGGATACGCATTAAACCTTCGACCAGGCCGCTGGATTCCGCTTTTTGGGTTGGCGGGTGGGTCCTTACAGAGGTAAACTGAAATATGACGTTAATCCATTTGTGCATGAAAACTTTCAAGAAAAAAGGTTGTGAACTGTTCAGTTTACATATTGACAAAATTATATATAATTTTTTAGATAGATAATTAAAGGAATAGTTCTGCTAAAAATGTAAGTATACTCAGCTTCATGTTGTTTCAAATCTGAATGCAATGTTTAGTCTTCTGAAGCGATAGCTTTGTGTGGTGAAATGACCAAAAAAAGTACAAAATTGTATGCCTTTAAGTTTATTTCATTCTGCACCACAGGCACAGCATTTGATTTGAGAGCTACAGTAAAAAGATGATTTTCAGTCAATAATGGCTTACATTTTTATTGAATAGCCTTAGAACTCTTGTAATAGTCTTGTTTTTGTCCTTTTTTTGGCGTTGTATGGAAGAGCAGCATGAAGATTCTGCATGAAAAATAATGGCATACAGGTTCAGAACATCTCGAGGGTGAGTAAATAACATATACTGTATATATATATTAGAGTGAATTATCCCTTTAAGGTATATGTTTATTGGATTTAAAGGTTCACCTGAAAAAAGTTCACCTGAAAAGGAATATTTGGAGAGATTTTCTGAACCGACTCTGTGTTTCAGTCGATGTTAACCACATAAATGTTTTCGAAAATAATCTACTTTTGTGTTTCTCAAAAGAAAAAATGCATACAGATTTGGAACAACATGGTGAGTGAATGATTTTCTCAGAATTGCACAAAGCTTGGAGTCAATAACATTTCAACACCTGTCAATTGTCTTAAAGTGATGGGTGAATATTTGACAGTTAGAGAGAGAGAGAGAGAGAGAGAGAGAGAGAGAGAGATTAAAACTTAACTAAATATATTGTTTTCATCATTTTATTCTGCAGATCTACGACCAAACATGCTGTTATTGATTTCCGAGGGCATCGAGAGCTTAAGCCCCTGAGAAGTTATCTGTGGTCCTGACAGATTGCAGACATGACCTGACAGTTAATTATCATCCATGGAATGACGTCACAAGCGTTAATACTTGGGCGTGAAATTAGTAAATGTGGTGTCTCCTTTGTGTTTAGAACCCAGTTTCACAGTCATTGTGCCTAAAATGACAAAATCCATTAGATTCATGTCTAATCAAGCTTTACATGGAAACGTAACACTCAAACATGTCTGTTTTACAGAGCCTTAAGGCAGTGGTCTCAAACTCAATTCCTAAAGGGCCACAACTCTACAGAGTTTAGCTCCAACCAGCTCCAAAACACACCTGCTTGGACGTTTCTAGCGATGTGTGTTTGATTAGGGTTGGAGCAAAACTGCAGAGCTGTGGCCCTCCAGGAATTGAGTTTGAGACCAATGCCTTAAGGGAATGATAAGAAAAATGAAATAGAAAAAAAAAATTAATTGTAAAGAAATAAAAGATCAGTCGAAAATAGTTTACTGTTTAATATGATATTGTATTTCATCAACAATGCACTGCCATGTGGAGCAAAAAACAAAGTACTGGATGATGTTGCCATTGGGTCATGCAGGAAAAACCCTCAATTAAATTTTTCCCTCTTTCTTTGTACTGTAACTACACAGTAGTTGGTTTTCTAGGTATATGGTGTTCAGTTAAGACAGAGAACAAATATACTCCACGTTATGATGGAACACACATCTTTACTACATCGCTCAGCGTGACAGTTGCTGGGAGCTCTGGGCTCTTTTCAAACGACAAATACTGAATTCAGAAACAGACGGTACAGCAATGAACACGCCATATTTTACTTGCTATGGTAGACAATGAAGGAAAGTATTGATTATGGAAATTTGATGCATTTTGTCATTGCAAATGTCATTATTCGGTTACACTTTATTTCGATAGTCCACTTTAGACATTCTACTAACTCTAAGTAACTTTGTAACTACATGTCAACTAATTCTCATTCATTTGCAACTACATGTCTACTAACTCTCAAGAGTAGACTGTTAGGGTAGGTTTAGGGTTAGTAGAATAAGTTGACAAAGAAATTGTTAGAAGATATTAAGCAGACAGTCTACTAATACTCTACTAACTGCTAGTTGACATGTAGTTGCAAAGTTACTTACTGTTAATAGAATGTCTAAAGTGGACTATCGAAATAAAGTGTTACCCATTATTCAACCGATCCGTGCAAAATCAGCTACTGTTCTGTTTGTAGCACTAAAAACTTTCAGGTCATGAGTTCCCTCAGGAATTTCAAATAAGTTAGCAGTTTTTGATTTATGAGTTAACAATTTAAAATATAAAGATGCTTAATTTACAACTGATTCTCCTTATATCAACCTTTGCTTTCTTTTTTGCACATTTCACATTTGAGGTTTGACTGTGTATACATTGATGTCTATTCATATAGTTTACTCTCATTATTGTTATTACTTTATATTTCTTGTTTTATTTATAACGCAATTCAAAAAACTAATTTGAAATTCTAACGGGAAGCCATGCTGAGGTCTGCAAAAAAAAAAAAAACTGACGTAATGACTGAACAGCTCTATTGTCATGGCATAGTAAGTGTCTATAACATGTAATTGTTTTTAATTTGAATTTTTTTAACTATAATGCCTCATTTCACTTGCAAATACAAAGTTTTTTTTTTTTACTGGTTGACTGAACAGCTGTTTCAGAATATATGTGGAAAAAAACAAAAAATCATTCAATATGACAATATGACAATATGAACGTACAGTGGCCTCAAAACATATTCGGACACTTAAGTGGCACTTAAAAATGTGTGAACATCATTTTGTTAGAAAACAAAATATGTGACATCAGTAAATGAAGAATGCAGAACCTTTTGTCAGTCCAAATTTCACTTTTCTGGGACTTTGTTGCAATCGCATTTTACCATTTTTTTTATTGTGTATATATTTAATTCAATTACAATTTTTGATAATATTATATAATAATTTTTTTTATTTTTATTTAAACCAAACAGGCATCTTTTGCTTGGTTCAGTATTTTGTTACATATTGCAATGTCCGACTTAAATGCCCATATATGTGTATGCCTTTTCAAATATACTTTTAAGACATAAATAATTGAATAATACAATGACATTTGTAGAATGAACTTATCTTCATCTCATAGATATTGTCTTTAGTCACATTAAGGACATTATATATCATTATATGTGAGTAGTACAATAATTACACTAAATAAATGTAATCTTGCTAAGATCACAAACTTTCTTTAAAGAAAATAAATATATATTTCAAAACACATTAACCTCAGTCCCTCAATCAAAGCATTCTTTGGCAGATCTGGGCTGAACCAGTGTACCTGGTGGTTTGAGGGCCGATGTCAGGTAGGACCATTTTAAAGTGCGGTATTTGACACGACTATTCACATTAAGCTCTATACTTTCAATTACAGGTAATGCTTTCTGAAATCTCTCTAAGGTCTAAGTTATTTTTTCCCGTCTTTCAAACTTGAAGGAAAATGGCTTCTATCATGTATACATGGCTGTATAAAGCTGCAACATTACCTTGCATGCGATAATTCCTCACCATCGATCATTAGTGCTTGTTTGAATCATTGCTGTCTACCTGTGCTAATTTGGCACAATCAACAAGTAGCACAGTTGTATTTGGCTAACTTTATATTGACTACATGAAGGGAAATTCTACGGACACGAGTATTCAACAACACTGAAACTCTACTGCAGGACAAGATCTCAAAGAATTTCCTTTAACAAGTAAATCCCTGGAAGTTTGCATACTAAGGCTTGCTTTCATACCAAATATCCTTTGATTTTGAGGGTACTGCGTCCCTACTAATCACTTTATTAGTGCTGACACTATCAATCAGGTTATTTCTGCTCGAGTTCTACCTGGTCTCTGTTCAGTCACGCTGTTTGTTTGAACTCTGTCAGGAACTGGCAGCTCTGAATCAGATTGAAGGTCGTTCAGCTCTAAACCCCCTCCTCATTCTTCACTCTCCTCCTCGTCTCCTTTAGTACCCTTGCTCCAGCGCTGAAAGCAGTGGACGGTGGACGCCAGGAAGAAGCTGGCCATGATGGCGGCCACTGAGACGGAGATGCCCGAGAAGATGATGATGAGGAAATCAGTGAGGGTGAGGGTGATCTGGCACTCCCGAAAACTGTCCTGGGAGAGCCGGCTGAGAGACACGCGGCGTCCGTCGGTGGGCAAGGAACACTCCATACCCTCTATACCTGTATAAACAGCACAAAAACAGTATAATAAATTGTAGTTTTTAGTTAGAGTGAGATCTGATATTTGTATTAAAATCATTAGTACATGTGATTTTGTGTAAGACTCTACATTACAATGGTTAGATCAATGCATATGGTTTCTATAAAATAAAATACAGCATTTTTTATGAACAGTTGCTTAGGTCTAAAAACCCTTGCAGTCTTCTTCTGACTATATGTTTTACTGCATGGGTTCTGGGTAATAGTCTGCATTAGAGTGTGGGGTCGGCAAAAGGGCACACTGAGCTTCAAAAGGGGGCACTTATGAATCATAAAATAATAATGGTTAAATGATATGGTTTCCGGGGTTGTGCATTTAAAAACAAAATATATATTGTGTGTTTGAGTGGTCCAGACGTTACAGATATTTATAATTTCTATTACAAACAAATGCTGTTCTTTTGAATTTCTATTCATCAAAGAATACTGAAAAAATGCATGACAGTTTCCACAAAAATATTAATCAGTACAACTGTTTTCAGCATTGATTATAATAAGAAGTGTTTCTTGAGCAGCAAATCAGCATATTCAGAATGATTTCTGAAGGATCATGTAACACTGAGGACTGGAATAATGGTGCTGAAAATTCAGCTTTGCCATCACATGAATCAATTATATTTAAAATATATTCAAATAGAAAACAGTTATTTTAAATTGTAATAGTATTCACAATATTACTGGTTTACTGTATTTTTGATCAAATAAATGCAGCTTTGGTAAGCTAAGAGACTTTTTTCAAAAACATAAAAAAATCGTACTGACCCTAAACCTTTAAACGACAGTGTAGATGTGCCGATTTTATTTTTATTTTTCAATTCAGGTAAATATTTTCTTTCTGTCATTCCAATGCAGTTTCCTGTCTAGTGTGAGCATTTCAATTCTAATTCAAACTCATTGAACTGAAAAGGAGCCAATTCTTAAACTCTGAGCCCCGATATACTGTATAAACATGCATATTGTCTGAATATCTCATATTTTAATAATGATATCTCATTAGACTAAATACACAACAGATATATAACATAATGATAACATAATGACAGTAATAGTACAGCTTTATTAGTTAACATTCAAGGACTGGACAACTGTACTGTATGGTCATTCAGATCAGATTCATCTGACACAAATGGAATCCCTGGACTCATTTCAAGACATTTTTGAATATTATAGATGGAAACGAAATGGCAGGGGGCTAATGAGATGGCCTAAAATAGCTCTCATGTTTATTTATGCCACTATTTGACCAGGACAGGAGTCAGATTGTCAGCGCTCACTCATTTAAAACATCACACACACACACACACACACACTCAGCATGCCCCCGCTGATTCACTGCTGCGTGTTAATGAGACTGAATCAAGGGCATATAAGACTTGGGCACATCGACAGCACATAATCATGAAATCCACAAAGAGGAATATCCGACAACAGCTTTCAGCTGCACAGAGAAATATAATCAACTCGCATTGTATAAATGTAAATTATATATTTGTGTATGCTAGTAGATGTTAATAAGAGTGTGATTAGAGTTTACATGGAGGAATTTAACAGAGAAAAACGCATCTTCGTCTAAATGAGTGGAAAACAAAAAGAAATAAGAAAGAAAAGTAAATGAGTTCTGAAGACGATATCAAGGCAGGCTTGTTTTCTTCTATGGCTGATTGCTTAGACGCAAGAAATAAAACAGCAGGAGCATATCATGAGATCCAAAGATGATAAAAACAAGCAACGGGCTTTTCACTCGTTTCTCTCTCTCGCAGTCAGAACGTGCAGTCTCACAGAAGCATGGGAGTGATGACATGTTTGCTTTCATTGCTTTTAACAGCCAGGTCATCTGATGCACTGGAGCGTGAGGCTCTGTGTGGGAGATGTAACTATATCCAGAGCTAACTCACAGTTTGTGTGGGATATCTGCACAACGTCAGAAGACGACAGAGGTGTGAATCTAGCTTCTCTCATTTTCTTCACTTGCTCTGTAATGTAAAACGCTGCAAGCATTTACATGGTTTAACTAATATTTTACAGTAAATTACCATATTTCGAATTTTACTATGAAATCAGTGCACACAAGGTCATTTTCACTCAATAGGGGAATACCATAAGGCCTTGCATTTAATTTTCAAAATAATGTATAACTGTATAAAAATGTATAATATTAATTCTTCATTTTGTTCACCCATATTTAATCACCTGGGCCAAATGATAAAGGATTTGCTGACTCACAAATGACAGTTTAACAGCAATTTACCATAATAGTTCTGAAATTAATTCCATTTCAATATGACTGTGATTTTATGATATATAACATTATAAGTAATAGCCAGTAATATGCTGTCACATTCACAGTCAGATGTTTTACAGTGTGCATTAAACTGACGTGTAATTTCATTTATAAGGACTTGATGTAACAATTAAAGCCTATGAAGACATTTTAAATTAATGGTTGTTGCAGACATGCCTCAGCCTCAGTCCTGACACCAGCCAGCCTTGTGCTTTTATTATGCACTGAAACGCATGTTAGTTTCTGACAAGTCAGTACAGAGGAAATGTTCACAAATTACCAGTTGAAAACGGAAGCATGTTGGCTGGTAATCATAGACAGTTGTAAACTGATACACTCTGCAGACCTTGAGGTTGTCAGGATGTTATTCACAGAACAATATTAGTCCGATATCTCGTGACATTAGTCAGCAGTCCTCCATGACAGCCACTGACTTGTCATCTGAGCACCATCATCACAGGTCATGAGATTAACAACTTTTGTGGAGCTGTTGACAGATATTTAGCAGGGAACATTACAATGCTAATACTTCCACAGAAACTGGAGTGCATTTTTTTGCGTAAAATGACTAGCTTCCAAGATAAATACATTTTGTGGGATAAATTCCCTGCAGGTATCAGGCATAAAATGTTGATATGATTAACACAAAGGTGGGTGGACGCTACTGGAGACAAATGTAATGGAAAACCTCAAGCACTGGAGTGCTGCGTAGTTGATCTTTAGCTTATTAAAATGTAATACACAAAACATACATCGTTCTATGTCTAAATATGTATCCTAATTTTTTTTCTAACCCCCAGGCAGTCATCTTAAAATAACCATTAAAATATATACAAAACACACATACTTTCTACATGTACATCTAAACATTTCTCTTATTTTTTGGTCAAATAATCATCAAATTGGTTATTAAAATACACATAATAAACAAAATATAGACCGATAGGTTCTACATCTCTCTCTCTCTCTCTCTCTCTAAAATGCAAAATATACATAGTTTTATGTCTAAGCATTTCTCCTTGTTTCTTTCTTTCTTTCTTTCTTTCTTTTTGTCAAGTAATCATCAAATTGATTATTAAAATATATGTAACGTACAAAACATAGGCCTACATAGGTTTTGTCTAAGCATTTGTCTTATTTTATTTTATTAGTTTTCATCTGGTAATGGTCTTACATTATATATATTACACACACACACACACACACACACACAGACTATACAGTTTCTATGTCTAAACATATCTCTTAATCTTTTTCTGTATATTTAAAGCAATTAAATCATCATATTAATTATTAAAAATATATTGTACAAAATGTAGAACTACTAGTTTCTCTGTCTAAACATTTTTCTTCTTTTTCTTAGTTTTTGTCAGGTAATAATCTTTAACTATTTATATATATATATATATATATATATATAATTTATCAGCCTTGTTTTTTTTTCTTAAATATTTCTCAAGTGACAAGCAATTTAGGCTAGCATTAGCTAATCTACAAGCACATAGGATTTGTTTTCTTTAATTATTTTTTATTAATGTGTGTTTCATGGTTTTATTTCCAAGAAGGAAGAGGATGGGATTCAAGCCGGACTCAAAACTCATATCACCTGCTTGAGCACAATGTCTCAATTGCTGCAACACATCTCCGACTGTAAACTGTTTTACTTTGTAATGTCCCCAGTGACCTCACATCATTTACATATGAATTTCTCTTCCATTTTTAAGTAAGAGTCTATGTATCTGTGTATTGATTTTCACATCAGATTCGAGAGCAAGTCTGAAATGTGTGCTTGGAGAGTCCATCTGTGCCTTAGTGTCAGGATAACTCGCTGGAGGATGAAGGAGATAAATTGCCTGTATTTATATTCACATAGCTTCGTCACACACTCACCGCTCTGCTAACTTCAGACAGTGGCCTCTGGCACTTTAAGAGGCTATTCTCTTTGATCATGTGACCCCCACCTGTCTCTTTAGGTTGATTAATGTTGCTTAAGACTTCACAAATACCTGCTCAAGATGTAATTTTTTCTTCTATTTTCGCTCTTAGGAAATGGATAGCACAGGCTGTGTTCATAGAGAGAAATTAATCAATACTCAGTGTGGCAGGAAATATTCTTGACCTCAGCGCATCATGACCTGGTTAAGGTTGGTAAATGATTTATTTCCGGTTACTGTACTTGCCCAGGGAGCCTGCTATATGGAAGCTTGCTACATTTCGTGGAAATTAGGTTTCTGAAATTTCAATCATATTTATGTGTCCTCGGGTGCACTGCATGTGCCACGGTTCAAGGAGATTTTAAACACTGTTTGAGATTTATATGTTTTGTTGACGGAGGACAAAAACAGGCAAAAGCAGCATGTCCTGAAGAGCCTGAGGAAATGTCCAATATGTTTGTTTTCTGAAAGTTAAGTTTCAAGTTTATTTAAAGGAACTGTTCCACTAGGGATGCTCTGATTGATGTTCACCTACCATAAAAAAGTAAGCTGAAAAGTGGAGCAGCTAATATTATTCAGAGCTCTTAAAGGGGAGTGTTTGATTTTTATAACATTTAAAGGGGAAGAATGAGTCAGAACATTTTAAAGGCAAAGCATTTGAAATGTAAAATACTACATTCTGACTTTTACAGAATTAGATAAATGGGCAATATTACACGAGTAGCCGTGCAATATTGTTGTATATC